TCGGGCTATATGGCCATGTTCTAGAGCAGTGTTTCTCAACCTGGGGGTCAGGACACCTGTGGGGGTCATGAGGGGGTCACCAAAGACCATCAGAAAACATAGTATGTTCTCTTTGTCATGGGAATTCTATGTGCCAAGTTTGATTCAATTCCATCATTGGTGGAGTTCAAAAGGCTCTTTGATTTTAGGTGAACTATAAATCCCAGCAACTCCAACATTCCCAAATGACAAAATCAATTCCCTCCAACCCCACCAGCATTCAGATTTTGGTGTATCGGGTATTTGTGCCAAATTTGGTCCAGTGAATGAAAATACATCCTGCATATCAGATATTTATATTACGATTCATAACAGGAGCAAAATTAAAGAAGTAGCAACGAAAATAACATTATGGTTGGGGGTCAACACAACGTGAGGACCTTTACTAAGGGGTCGCGGCATTAGGAAGGTTGAGAACCACTGTTCTAGAGGTATTCTCTCCTGATGTTTCGCCTGCATCTATGGCAAGCATCCTCATTGGTTGGGGGGGGGGGGGGGAAGGAGACTGAAAACCCTTGCAAAACTACAACTCCCAGGATTCCATAGCAATGAGCCATGGCACTTAAAATGGCATCAAACTGGGTTAATTCGACAGTGTGTATGCATCCATACATAATGCTTTTCTAGCATACAACAGTATTTCTCTCCATTATGTCCTGCATTACTAATCCCATATGTATTTGGAGCAAAACTATAATGAAATTCAGTAATTAATCTCATTCCCAGGCCAATATGCCTCAAGGCGCCAGTGTTTTCGACTGCAAATACAATAGCAACAAATGTATTTTGAACACTTCCTAAGACAAAACAGCAAATAACAAAGGCAGCTTCGGATGGAGACGAAGGAGGGAATATTTGGGACAATGCAACCCAGAAAAGCCCTGTAAACAATGCAGGGCAGTCAACAAAAACATTAGGAATACATCCCATAATGACACTTTTACAAGTGAGAGTCCGACATTATTGCTGCCGCAATGGACAAGATGCCGAGCCACAATTTGTTGGCTTGCTTTGAGCAAAGTGGTTGTAGTTATCCTGTCTAAGGCTGGATCTGCACTGCCATATAATGCAGTTTGAATTGCATTATATGGTCAGGGTTGAGCCATATAAAGCAGTTCATACTGCATTAAACTCCATTATATAGGGCTGTATCTACACTACAGCCTGAATTGCATTAAATGGCCAATGTAGACCTATATAATGCAGTTCAAACTGCACTGAAGTCCACATGGGGCTGGATCTGAACTGCCATATAGTGCAGCTTGAATTGCATTATATTATCAGTGTAGGACCCATATAATGTAGTTGAAACTGCATGTAACTCTATTATATAGGGCTGGTTCTGAACTGCCATAGAGCACACCTTGAATTGCATTATATGTTTAGTGTAGGGCCATATAATGTGGTTCAAACTGCATTGAACTTCATCATATGGGGTTGTCTCTACACTGGCATACAATACAGCTTGAATTGCATTATATCATCAGTGCAGGACCATATAATGTGGTTCAAACTGCATTGAACACTATTATATAGGGCTGGTTCTGCACTGCCATATAGTGCAGCTCGAATTGCATTATATCATCAGCGTAGACCTATATAATGCAGTTCAAATTGCATTGAATTACATCATATGGGGTTGTATCTACACTGGCATACAATACAGCTTGAATTGCATTATATGATCAGTGTAGAGCCATATAATGCAGTTCAAACTGCATTGAACACTTTAATATACAGCTGTATTTGCATTATATGCAAATGGCTTGAATTGCATTATGTGGAACTCCATTATATAGGGCTGGGTCTGCATTGCCGTACAGTGCAATTTGAATTGCATTATATATATATATATATATATATATATATATATATATATATATATATACATACATACATACACACATACACACACACACACACACACACACACCATATAAAGCGGTTCAAAGTGCATTGAACCCTATTATAGTACAGTTTCAGAATAGAGTTTAGACTGGATTGAACTGCATTATATAGCAGCGTAAGACGTCTATATGTAGAATTATTCAGCAGTTTAGATCCAGATCTTTTGTCACTGACGTGGAATAATACATCCTATGGACTCTTTTTGCAAACACATCTCCAAGAACATGCCTATAGTATCAATAGCATTTGCGAGGGCCGTCCATTAATTTTCCATCTATACTAAGGGTGCATCTACACTATGGAACGAATGCACTTTGGCACCACTTCAACTGCCATGGTTCAAGTTATGGCATAATAGGGTTTTTGTAGTTTGCCAAGGCCTTTAGCCTCCTTTGCAAGAGTGCCAAAGTAAAAAACTCCCAGGATTCCATTGTATTGAGCAGTAACAGTTAAAAATGGGATCAAACTGCATTAATTCGACAGTGTAGATGCACCCTAAAGGAAGCCACACCTTTAAAAAAAATATCAGAGGACACATTGCAGGATTATTCTACTAGAATCTGGAATAATTTCATATATTAGGTTGTTGTGAATTTTCTGGGCTGTATGTTCCAGCAGCATTCTCTCCTGACATTTCACCTACATCTATGACATGCATCCTCAGAGGTTGTGAAATTTATTTATTATTATAAATACATCTATGACAGGCATCCTCAAGAGGTTGTAAGATCAGACCTCACAACCTCTGAGGATGCCTGCCATAGATACAGGCAAAACGTCAGGAGAGAATGCTGCTGGAACATGGCCATACAGCTCGGAAAACTCACAACCACCCAGTGATTCCAGCCATGAAAGCCGTCGACAATACATTTCATATATTATTCCCCCCAAGGTGAAGATAATAATACAGTCAAAGTTGCACTGTAGTGACTTTCTACCATAATGCCCTTAAATGGCCTTTAAATTAATACAATATACGGGACAAAAAAGGCACCGAATTCCCCCAAAAGTGGGGTAACGTCATAACATAAAAAAGATCTGATGTGCGGATAACTAAGAGGAGAAAAATCTGGCTCTACCAGGATCTGTATCTCCAAAACTTGGTCCTATTGGTCAATGGTGCGTCTACATGGCGGAATGAATGCAGTTTGACACCACTTTAGCTGCTTTGGCTCAATGCTATGGGATCACTGGAGTTGCAGTTCTGTTTTTCCAAACTACAGATCCTAGGCATCCTTAGCACTGAGCTACGGCACTAAAAGTGGTGTCAAAAGGGCATTAATTGCACAATGGAGATGCTGGGAAACCTTGGGTTGATGCACACAAGGAGTTCTATTGGTCTGGCTGGGTGCATCTACACTGTTGAATTATTGCAGTTTGACACCACTTGAACTGCCGTGGCTCAGTGCTACAAAATCATGGGAGGTGTAATTTTACATGGCCTTGAGCTTTCTCTTAAATTATAATTTGCTCTTATATGTTGGGTTATTTTTGCTATTGGTTCTTGTATTTAGGCATTATATGTTTGTTTACATTTTTGTGGTTGGAATCCACCCTGAGTCCCTTCGGGGAGATAGGGTGGAATACAAATGTTGTTGTTGTTGTAAAGTTGTTGTTACTGTTATTATTATATTGTGTCTAAGCTTGCCAAATGACAATCCCTGTAATCGAAGACTTTCATGGCTGGAATCACTGAGTTGTGAATTTTCTGGGCTGTATGGCCATGCTATAGAAGCATTCTCTCCTGACATTTTGTCTGCATCTATAGCCTCACGACCTCTGAGCATGCCTGCCACAGATGCAGGCAAAACATCAGGAGATAATGCTTCTGGAGCATGGCCATACAGCTCAGAAAACCCACAACAAAATCCTATAATTCAAACGCATTGAGCCATGGCAACTAAAGTAGCACCAAACTGTGTTAATTCTGCAGTGTAGATGCACCCCAATGTGTGCAGGGAACGAAGAAAAAGGGGAGGAACAATAAAGGCAACGAAATGTGCGTTAATGGGGTTTGTAGGGGCCACTCGTGCGCCTGAAACACAAGCGATTTGGTCCCCTTTCTTTGTGCGGGTTTAGTAGGGAAGCAACACAACAAAAATGTCCCCCAAAAGGGTTGGAAAACACCATCTAAAATTCTTTTTTAAGTTCATGAGAACCTCTTGCTGCATCAAAGACCAGGAACAAAGCTTCTCAACCGGAGATAAGTCTACAAGACTTCACTCCCTAACCCAATAAATACTATTTTCTGACCATTTTCCTTCCCATTAAGTCCCATATCCCCATATATATATATGTATATGTATGTATATATATATATACACACACACACACACAATGTATGTGTGTATACATATATGTATGCATACATATAAGTATGTATGTATGTAAGTATACATATATGTGTGTGTGTATACACACACACACACACACATACATATATGTGTATATATATATTCACAGAGCAAAACATTTAAAGTAAGAAAAAGCAACTTAGGGTGCATCTACAGTATAGACTTAATGCAGTTCAATTCCACTTGGCTCAACGGGAGTTGTAGTTTTCCAAGGTCTTGTCTGTCAAATGATAGCTCAATTGCTTTCCATAGCAAGGAGCCATGGTAGTTAAAAGTGGTGTCAAACTGCATTAATTCTACTGTCTGGATAGACTAGACACGGGCAAACTTCAGCATTCCCTCTAGGTGTTTTGGACTTCAATTCCCACTATTCCTGGCCTCATGTCCCTTCCTGTTCCTCCCTCAGCCGCTGAGGTCAGGAATTGTGGGAATTGAAGTCCAAAACACCTGGAAGGAATGAAGTTTACCCATGCCTGGGATGGATGCACCTTTGGTGAGCATAACGATCAATACAAATTGGAAACAAACTCCAATCGATGGTCTTCCAGGCAGCTGTTGGTAATTAGATTTTCATTTTCAGCACCGGATTTGGCTTTTGCCACAGTATGATGGCTGCAGATCTGTTTTCCCGTGGCTTCTTTTTTATCTTTTCCCCCTTCCGAGAAAAACCAAATTGATTCGGATCATTTACAAACACGACAAAATACAAAACGTTTATTTCTTAGCTCGACAGAACTAGGCAGGAGGTTTTTGTTTTGTTTTGTTTTTTAAGGGGGAAAACGTCAGAAAAATAAAAAGATCTCTAAAAAATAATAACAATAAAAATAATAATCATTCACAACTAAGATGATGTGTCAAAAGTTCACTCAGTTTATCTGGAGTCGAGGAGGAGATTCGTGGCAAATTGGTTTCCCAAAGGAGTGTAAAGCTAAATAATATCCTTCCTATAAAAAACCCTGCTTTGCCGGATGAATTTATTGTTGTTTTGCTGGATGAATTTCTTGTTGTCCTGCAAAAACCTGTTTCAGACAGGTTTTTTTGATGAACTTTTTGGAAAAGGAGGAAGGAACAAAGCGATGAACTAAATAAAACTAAAATGAGGGTCCAAAACCAGAGCGAGGAGTCTAAATTGCTCACAGCGGAGAATGGAAACACAAACGTCTCCCATCGGAAGCTAACTTTTCTCGGATTTTTCTTGGGATCTTCCTCCATCAATTCGGTTTGAAGAGGGCTTTTTTTTCCTCTCCGGCTTTGATTTACAAATCAAAACGTTGGAATCGGACATGCGTTTTGTGTCATTTCTGGACAATCAGGACGTTGTGCGTTGGCTTGAAACCGGAAACATTCTCCTTTGTTTTGCTTCTTTTTAAGACTCTTGCGGAACGACCTCCATCATCTTCTGGCAAAAGACGGTCGTAGAGTCTGTTTGCAAAAAGAAAAAGGAGGAAAAATGAATTTAAGGTAAAGGGGAAACCGACTCTGGGATTGGTGCTCATCTCCATTTCTAAGCAGAAGAGCCAGCATTGTACGTAGACGCCTCCAAGGTCATGTGGCCAGCATGATTGCATGGAGCACCATTACTTTCCTGCTGGAGATGTACCTATTGATCAACTCCAGTTCCGGCCCGGTTTACCTGCCCGAATGTATTCTCCCCTATGAACCATCAAGACAATTAAGATCTTCTGGTGGGGCCCTGCTCTCGGCTCCGCCACTTTCGCAATCGTGTCTGGTGGGAATGAGAGACAGGGCCTTTTCCGTGGTGGCCCCTCGGCTATGGAACTCTCTCCCGATTGAGATTAGATTTGCCCCCTCCCTCCTGTCCTTCAGGAAACTGGTGAAATCCTGGCTATGGAAGGAAGCATTCCCAGAGTAATGGCTGAAACCGGCTACAGAACAAAGTTATCGACCACACATACGGACTGAGTTGGACATGATTTTATCTTGGCGATTTGGCTTATTTGTAATTTTTAATAGATATGTATTTTAACTCGTTATTATATGATGTTTTTAGATTGTACTATTAGCATTGAATCCTTGCTGTAAGGCGGTCTGAGTCCCTCTACAGAGGTTGAGAAGATCGGGATATAAAAGTTTTAAATAAATAAATAAATAAATAATTTATTTACTATATTTGTATACCGCCTTTCTCAGCCTATCGGCGACTCAAGGCGGTTTCCAACAAAACAGTATACATAGTATCACAATACAATTTAAAAACATTACAATTACATAAACCATAACAGCAATAAAAAACATCATTGACGTCTCCTTATTGTCAAGCATGTCCCATTCCATCGTCAATCATCAATTTCCTATATCATTTATCCATATCCGTTACTCTGTGTTTGTGAACGCTTGCTCAAACAGCCATGTTTTGACTTGTTTCCGAAACGTTAAGAGGGAAGGAGATCTAATCTCTCTAGGGAAGGCGTTCCATAGCCCCGGGGGGGGGGGGGGGGGGGGACACACTGCTGAAAAGGCCCTGTCTCTCGTCCCCGCCAAATGTACCTTTGACGAAGGCAGGGCCGAGAGCAGAGCCTCTCTGGGCAATCTCAAGGTTCTAGATGGTTCATAAGGGGAGATACGTTCGGACAGGTAAGTTGGGCCAGAACCGTTTAGGGCTTTAAGGGTTAAAAATAAACTCACATTTGCGTGTTTTCAAACTGCTAGGTTGGCAGAAGCTGGGGCTAACAGTCAGCAAGTTCAGCAGCTTAACCCGCTGCACCACGAGGGGGCCATCAAGCTATGACAGTAGAGTCTCACTTATCCAACCTTCGCTTATCCGACATTCCGTCTTATCCGACGTTCCTACTGACGCCCCGCTTTTCCTCCAGCATTTCACCTTAAATTAAAGGAGTGCTCCCAATTCTATCTCAACTCCCAATAAGTGAAAAAGGCGAGGAGGAGGAGGAAAAGGGGAAAAGAGGCAGGACTGAAAGCGGAAGCATCTTCCCTCCTTCCCTCTGTGATTTCCACGCTCCTCTTCCACATCCGAGCACTTCCTGCTGGGCCACTGTATTCCTGAGGTGTTGCTTTGCCTTAACCCTGAAGATGCCATTAGCCACAGATGCTGGGGAAATGTCAGGAGAGAATGCTACTTGAACATGGCCATACAGCCCAGAAAACTCACAGCAACCCAGCAATACAATTGTCCAGCTTTGTGCATGTGCGGCCGAGCAAAATCTCCTTCGGATTACCCCTGAAGGAACGAGGGCCAGAGGTTTCTAATTAATTAAGGTGCTTTTGCAAGGTATTAATTCTCTATCCATCTCGGGATATTTGCTCGCTCCCTCTGCCTCCGTCACCATTGCTCTCTGTGCAAAACGGGAGAGGGAATTGACATGCTAATCCCTCCGTCCGCCGTCGGTGGCAGAAAAATGGCTTTTCTAAGAACTGTGAGCAATACTTAGAAAAAGAAGAAAACAGGGATGGATTTAAAAAAAAAGGAGAGACAGGCAGTGTTTGTGTAACAAAAGAAAAGAGCCTCTATAATCAGGGAGACTGGAGAAATCTGTTTCTGCTCAATGCCTAAGTAATACTCAAGAGATAAACCTCCAAAACATCGCCTCCTTGTCTGCTTTTTCTAGGTCAGGCTTCCATTGTCGCCTCCAAAAGGACAAATGGTGGTTTTTGGTTACGGAATCACCATCCGAGCAAGACTCCATTGTTTCTTTGATGCCTTTTAATGCAACTCCGATCCAACAGATGGAAAGTAAAAACACGGGCATTGTAATAGGAAGCAAAAGAAGAAATTGAAAAGGCATGCAAAGCTAGGCGCACCCAAACACTCTCTGTTTCCATGCAAATCGATGGCAAATGTGGATGGAAAAACTCCCAGCAATATTCTCATTTAGGGAGAGAACATTGCTAGGAATATAATTAAATCTGCATTGTATTTATGCAAACCAGACTTTGGGTTTTTCGCCTTGTAAATCCCAGAGTTTTGGTTTTGCTATGGTTTTGCTAATAACAAGCAAAGCAAAATAACGGATCGCATCCTTTCCGGACTCACATATACTCTGCAGGAGCCACTTGGGTTTGTTCTGCCACCAGACGCCGATCAGATAGACGGGGATCCCGCTGAGGATGATGGCAAAGCCGATGCCGCACTCCTTGGGCGTCATCCAGAAGGAGACGACGATGAGGAAGATGCAGGCGAGGATGAAGAAGATGGGAAGGATCAGGTTCACCTGGATTTCGGAAAGCACGAGAGACCTTTGGGTCAGCAAAACTGAAGAGGTTAGATCAGGCCTGGGCAAACTTGGGTCTTCCAGGTGTTTTAGACTCTAACTCCCACCATTCCTAACAGCCTACCAGCTGTTAGGAGTGATGGGAATTGGAGTCCAAATCACCTGGAGGGCCCAAGTTTGCCCAGGCCTGGGTTAGATAATCTCCACCCTAAAGAAGCCAACAGTCAATTGATCGAAAACAGCTTGTTTGAAAATGGAGTTGAGGATTACAAGGGATATTTAGGGTCCATTTGGGAGCATCCCTTGCAGCCTTTGGGAATCCCAACCACATTAAATTGAGGCACTCAGTAATAATAATAAAAATAACAACAACAACAACAATTCAATAATAATAATAATAATAATAATAATAATAATAATAATAACACCAACTTTTGGCACCCGCCTCTCCTAATGGCACAATAACAATAATAATAACACCAGCAACAACAACTTTTGGTACTTGCTTCTCCTAACAGCATAATAACTACTACTACTACTTCTACTACAACTTTTAATACCAGCCTCTCCCAATGGCATAATAATAACAATAATAATAACAACAACAACAGCAACAACTACTGCTACTACTTTTGGTACCGCCTCTCTTAATGGCATAACAACAACTACTACTACTTTTGGAACCCACCACTCCTAATGGCATAATAATAATAATAATAATAATAATAATAATAATAATAATAATAAATATATAATAATAATAATAATATAATACCCGCCTCTCTTAATGGCATAACAACAACAACAACAACAACAACAACTTTTGGAACCCACCACTCCTAATGGCATAATAATAATAATAATAATAATAATAATAATAATATAACTGCTACTAATAATATAACTACTACTACTACTACTTTTGGCACCCACCTCTCTTAATGGCATAATAATAACTTTAGAAGGAAATTAAAAATGTGGTTATGGGACCAGGCTTTCGGGCAATCTGGCAGTTAAGGAAAATGGACGACTAGAATTAACAGGACTGACAATGTGGAATTGAAACTATGAACTAAGAGACGGTGAACGCTGAGTGTTAAACTGGTTTATTGACGTGTTGTAGAACTGAGAACCGACCGTATAATTGTTTTTAACTGTTTAATTGCTGCTATACTGTTTTATTTTATTGTTGTATTGTATTGTTGTATTGATGCCGGCATCGAATTGTGCCTTTGTAAGCCGCTCTGAGTCCCCGTCCCCCCCCCGCCCCCCCGGGATGAGAAGGGCGGTAGAAGTATTTGAAATAAATAAAAAATAAAAAATATATAATTATTATAATTATAATAATAACAACAACAACAACTTTTGGTACCCACCTCTCCTACCAGCATTATTATTATTATTATTATTATTATTATTATTATTATTATTATTATTTTACTGACACAAAGCCACAGTATGTCACAACAAATGAGATCTATATGCTGGATTTCATATCAAAAAATCACAAGTCGAACACTTCCCAAGCATCTAGGACTGTGTGATGTATTTTCGAATGAATAATAATAATAATTATTGTTGTTGTTGTGTTTTCTTTGTTTGTTTGTTAAAAATGCAATACAACTTTGGTTTGTTCCTGACACGATAAATAAATAAAATTATTAATAATAATGTGTTGCCTACCTCTCTTAATGGCTAAGTATTACTATTATTAATTATAGTATGTAACACTATGATTTTTGGAGTGTGGAGGGCGAAGTTTCTCTTGCCAGGACAAAGTTTTCGCCCTCTAGTCAAGTTTCACCATCTTTTCAGGATAACAGCAATGAGAAACAGATATGTATAACCCATGAGCAAAACTCGTACAAACAATGTGCATATTCACATCAGCACATTTGATTTTTTTTCAGTTGAAATTTCTGGCGGATGTCCCATGGTGGCCATCTTGAAGTTTTGAAATCCCATAATGAAGCAACAAGTCTGGACATCACAGATAGAAATCCTGGGACCAACAGGATCTGTTCTCAGGTCTTGGGGTTTTTTGCCTCTTGTAGAAAACCCGTGTTTTGGTGCTGCCTGGAAACACCTTGAGTCTACACCGCAATATAAGGCATGTCCTCACCTTGATGGGCCTCTCCAGCTCCGGCTTCTTGTAGCGCAGCCACAGCATCCCGATGATGGCCAAAGCCACGCAGAGCCAGTTGAAGAAGCTGAAGAAGTTGATAACGGAGAAGATGTCGTTGGAGAAGGCGTAGAGGAGAGTCATGACACACTGCAAAGATAGATACAGAAAAGAAGGATGAGAAAAGGAAACGAATGGAAACCGGAACCCAAAGCAACTGGATCCAATTCTTTAAAGGCTAGTATCATTTAGCGAGAAGAAAGACTGATGCCCCTTGTACGCAACCATATAAAATCCATATTACCTGCTTTGAACTGGATTATATGACAGTGTAGCTCAGGCAATGGCAAACTTGGGCCCTCCAGGTGTTTTGGACTTCAACACCCACAATTCCTAAAAGCCTCAGGCCCCTTCTTTTTCCAGCTCAGTCGCTTAAGCTTAAGAAGTCCAAGTTTGCTCATGCTCCATTCACTGTTTTGAGTTGAAACTTTCTGAATTCTAAGGCTGGGTTTACACTGCCATATAATGCAGTTTCACAATACAGATTAACTGTGTTGGACTCAATTATATAGCAGTGTAGACTTGTATACTCCAGTTCAATGCAGTTAGCCTCCATTATATGGCAGTGTAGATCCAGCCTCAGGCCCCTTCTACACTGCCATATAAAATCCAGATTATCTGTACATGGAAATAATATAACAATAATAAAATATAATAGTAATAATAATAATAATAATAATATAATAATACCTAGGCCCTTGGGAAGAGCCCAATATTCAGAGACGAACCCCAGACACTTGAACCTAATATGCATGTGTGATGTGTTGTTATGTGAACAATATAATGATAATAATAATATATTATATAATAATAAGCTAATACATATGTAATAATAATATCTCTTAATATCCTAGGCCCTTGGGAAGAGCCCAATATTCAGAGATGAACCCCTAACACTTAGACCTAATATGCATGTGTGCTGTGTTGTTATGTACACGTAAACAATATAATAATATATAATAATAATAATACCTCTAATATCCTAGGCCCTTGGGAAGAGCCAGATATTCAGAGACGAACCCACGACACTTGGACCTAATATGCATGTGTGATGTGTTGTTATGTACATGTATAAAATATAATAATATTATATAATAATAATAATAATAATAATAATACCTCTAATATCCTAGGCCCTTGGGAAGAGCCAGATATTCAGAGACGAACCCCCAACACTTGGACTTAATATGCATGTGTGCTGTGTTGTTATGTAAACAATAAAATAATAATTTTTTGTTGTTCATTCGTTCAGTCGTCTCCGACTCTTCGTGACCTCATGGACCAGCCCACGCCAGAGCTCCCTGTCGGCCGTCACCACCCCCAGCTCCTTCAAGGTCAGTCCAGTCACTTCAAGGATGCCATCCATCCATCTTGCCCTTGGTTGGCCCCTCTTCCTTTTGCCTTCCACTTTCCCCAGCATAATTGTCTTTTCTAGGCTTTCCTGTCTCCTCATGATGTGGCCAAAGTACTTCAACTTTGTCTCTAGTATCCTTCCCTCCAATGAGCAGTCGGGCTTTATTTCCTGGAGGATGGACTGGTTGGATCTTCTCGCAGTCCAAGGCACTCTCAGAACTTTCCTCCCACACCACAGCTCAAAAGCATCGATCTTCCTTCGCTCAGCCTTCCCTAAGGTCCAGGTCTCACATCCGTAGGTTACTACAGGGAATACCATGGCTTTGACTAGGCGGATCTTTGTTGCCAGTCTGATGTCTCTACTCTTTACTATTTTATCGAGACTGGACATTGCTCTCCTCCCAAGAAGTAAGCGTCTTCTGATTTCCTGGCTACAGTCTGCATCTGCAGTAATCTTTGCGCCTAGAAATACAAAGTCTGTCACGGCCTCCACGTTTTCTCCCTCTATTCCCAGTTGTCAATCATTCTTGTTGCCATAATCTTGGTTTTTTTGATGTTTAGCTGCAACCCAGCTTTTGCGCTTTCTTCTTTCACCTTGATTAGAAGGCTCCTCAGCTCCTCCTCGCTTTCGGCCATCAGAGTGGTGTCATCTGCATATCTGAGGGTGTTAATGTTTCTTCCAGCAATTTTCACCCCAGCTTTGCATTCATCAATCCCCGCACATCTCATGATGTGTTCTGCATACAAATATATAATATAATAATAATAATATGATACATATATAATACTACTGTATTGTCGAAGGCTTTCATGGCCGGAATCACTGGGTTGTTGTAGGTTTTTCTGGGCTATATGGCCATGTTCTAGAGGCATTAATACTACTACTAATAATATATCTGTAATACTCTAGGGCAATGGTTCTCAACCTGTGGGTTCCCAGATGTTTTGACCTTCAACTCCCAGAAATCCTAACAGCTGGTAAACTGGCTGGGATTTCTGGGAGTTGTAGGCCAAAACACCTGGGTACCCACAAGTTGAGAACCACTGCCCTAGGCCCTTGGGAAGAGCCCAATATTCAGAGACGAACCCCAGACACTTGGATCTAATACGCATGTGTACTGTTATGTTATATACATGTAATATTAATAATATTCTCTTCTTACTGGAGCGCTAACAAAAATACCATATCTGTAGGTGTCCAGTTCCCATAGATATGAAAAACCTAGGCGATTATTCCCTGTATTATGACATGGGCGCAGTGTGAATGTGTACACTTAGCATGTCCGCACTTGCTAATATGGGACACGATAAGTGCTGAAAAGTCTAGATTCCACAAATACCATTGTGCCCATATAAAAACCATACTAATCAAAGAAATTTATTTTCACAACTCTGGACGCATCCTTACTGTGAAGATGAGGGATGGCACTGGCGTGAGGAGCTTGGGGTGGATCATGGAGAGAACGGAGGGCAGGTGTCCCTCACGAGAGCCGACAAAGAAGAGCCTGTGGAAACAAACACACACACACCCCTTTTAATTTCATGTTACCGAGTGATTTATCAAAGACTGAGATCTCACAGACGTTGGAAGACAGCAGCCAAGATGTTATCTTGGGGTTGCGTAACGGAAATGCAAGGCTAATTGCATTATACAACCTTTGGCTTGGTATGGCAATGTTGTGCAACTGAACCAGGTCGGCAAAGGTGCCATCCGAAAGACAAGCACATCCGAACGCAATGAAGTGGCATGGCATGTGTAACAAATGTGACTGCTGTGCACCCAACAAAAATATCCAACTACTTCCAAGGGAAAATCAAATGAGAGTAAGACCTCAGCAGTGGGCTCATATTCTTAGGTTAAAGGTAAAGGTTGTCCCCTGACATTAAGTCCTGTCATGTCTGACTCTGGGGTGCGATGCTCATCTCCATTTCTAAGCCGAAGAGCCAGCGTTGTCCATAGACACCTCCAAGGTCATGTGGCTGGCATGACTGCATGGAGCTCATATTCTTACTTGTCTAATTTTCCTGAAGAAGAGACATTTCTGCCAACTTCCCTTTCCATCTGTCATGCCAACCTTCTTTTCCCATAAGAAGTAGGCAACCTGTGCCCTTCGGATTTCTGAACTATAAGTCCCACAATCCCTAACAACTGGACATGCTGGTTGGAGCTGAAGGCTCTGGTTATATATAAACCAGAGCCAATAGTTGTGTTACCCTGATGGATTCTGACCATTGTATGTAAATGCTATGCAAGTTGTGTTGAAGCCAACTGATTTGTGTGACCTTCATGGATTCGAACTATTGTATTACTTGCTCACCACTCATTATTCTGTGACCTTGATGGACTCTGGCCATTATATGTATATACTATGTAAGTTATATTGAAGCCATAGCATATCCACACTAAGCTTGTGCAATCTGGGTAAACTGCAATCCATTTCAGTGTCTTGGATTTTGGTGGAAGTTCCGATCTGCTTTTTGGGAGCCTCCCAAATTTGGGAGGACAGAATCTATTTTCACTCTGGGAAGCCGAAAGATTAGTTTTCTATCCAGCCCATTATGGGTGGAGGGATTTCCCAGGCTCCCCTTCCCATCATTTTAGGTATTTAAGACATTTTTACTCTAGGGGAGAGGCGCTACAGACAGGTAGGCACACTTTCCTGAGCTTGCACCATGCCACACCCTCTTTCCAAGGCATTTTAAGGAGGCCCAGGGAAGGAAGAGTGATGACCTGAAGCTATCCTCTCTGGGCTTCCTTTAAAAAACCCTCTTTTTTTCTTGGCACACTTCAATCTCCTTTCTGCTTTGGATTTAATGCTTCCTTAGAGCTGTTTCTACTTTCTACTCTAGAGGAGAGGTGCTGCAGGCAGGCAGGCACGCTTTCTTTCCTAGGCTTGCTCCATGCCACGCACCTTTTCCAAGACATTTTAAGTAGGCCAAGGGAAGAAAGAGCAACGACCTGGAGCTATCCTCCCTGGGCTACCTTAAAAAACCCTCTTATTTCCTTGGCACGCTTCAGTCTCCTTTCTGCTTTGTGTTTAATGCTTCCTCAAAGCTGTTCCTATTTTTTTTCTAATCTAGAGGTATTGCAGGCAAGTGTGTGCACTTTCTCTCCCAGCCTACACCATACCACACACTCTTTCCAAGGCATTTTAAGGAGGCCCAGGTAAGAAAGAGCAATGACCTGGAGCTATCCTCCCTAGGCTACCTTTAAAAAACCCTCTTTTTTGCTTGGCACGCTTCAATCTCCTTTCTGCTTTGGTTTTAATGCTTTCTCAGACCTGTTTCAATTTTTTCTACTCTAGAGGAAAGGTGCTGGAGGCAGGCGTGTGCGCTTTCTCTCTCAGACCTGCACCACGTCACATACTCTTTCCAAGGCATTTTAAGGAGGCCCAGGGAAGGAAGAGCAATGACCTGGAGCTATTCTCCCTGAGCTTCCTTTAAAAAAAAAACCTTCCTTTTTCGTGGCATGCCTCACTCTCCTTTCTGCTTTGGGTTTAATGTTTCCTTAGAGCTGTTTCTACTTTCTACTCTAGAGGAGAAGTAACTAGGTAGTAGTAGTTTTCAGAGAAGGAGGGTTTTCTTTTTGTTTGCTGGAATTAATAAAAAAGATTACTGTGATGCTGAACAGGGGAGGAGGAGCTAAGATTGGCTGCCACATGGTCCTGTTCTGGACAGGAATCCATGATGGTTGGCCCCTTGCCGTTACGGGCACCCGAACAAACCAAAGAAGCCGATTGGCTGGAGGAAACACTAAAAATGGATTTGCGCACAAGCGTAATACATACTATGCTGATAGATTCCGACAATACAACAAAATTTGAAAAAAATCTGTTCCTGTTCTGAAAGTGATTTTAATATGGAATGGAATATTTTAAAATATGTAATAATTTTAACTTATTTTTTAATTTTAATATTTTGGAATTGTTTGTGTTTTATGGCATTGAATAATTGCCTGTGTTGTAAGCCACATTGAGTCCCCTTCAGGGTAGAAAAAGGCGGGGTACAAATAGGGTAAATAAATAAATAATAAATAAAGTGTTAAAGTACCGTAGTTGTTCTACTCCAGAAACTTTATTTTTGTGCCATAAACTAGGTTGAATTGGTTGAGACTCTATGAGATGTTCATTGGAAAACTAGAGCAAAATGTGCTGCAGGATAATATCCCTCCTGCAAGAACAAAGTTTTTGCAGTTTAATACACTTTTCCTTTGTTTTTATGATCAAACCAATTAGGAAATGATCCCAGGAACAAAAATCACATCACATAATGTAATTATACTTTGTTGTAGGCAATGGTTGTGTGACCCACCCATGGTACTGTGTTCATCTGGTGTATAGTGGTCAATTTTACAATTGGGTAAAGGGGACAATTCCCAATGTGACACTGTTTACTTTTATGTGACACTCTGAAATATACAACCTCTTAAATAATGCTAATGTAATGTCACAAAAGATTCCCATCCCAAAACTCCCATTTGGATACTGTCACACACGCTTCCTGAGTCTGTACACATTAACCTGTGTGAACGTACCTAGATGAAGTGAAGAGTGACCCATTGACGGAGCCGAAACACGACAAGCCGACAAAGACGGGGATGATCCAAGACATGACGCCCAAGTGATAATTCCCGAAGTCCTATTGGCCAAAGAGGAGGAAAGTAGATTTTCAAAATACATATATACATACTTATATCTTGCACTAGCCGTTCCCTGCCACGCATTGCTGTGGCCCACTCTGTGTATATGTACTTTGTGTGTGTGTGTGTGTGTGTGTGTGTGTATATATGTATATATATGAGTATATGTGTGTGTATATGTGTATAGATGTGTGTTTGTGTATATATGTGGTTTTAAGCATGCGTGCTGTGGCCCAGTCTGTGTATATGTGTTTTGTGTGTGTATATATGTGTGTATATATTTGTGTATATATTTGTGTATATGTGTATATTTGTGTTTCTGTATATATGTGGTTTTGAGCATGTGTGCTGTGGCCGGGTCTGTGTATATGTGTTTTGTGTGTGTATATATGTGTGTATATATATTTGTGTATATATGTGTGTTTGTGTATATATGTGGTTTTGAGCATGTGTGCTGTGGCCCAGTCTGTGCATATGTGTTTTGTGAATGTATATATGTGTGTATATATATTTGTGTCTATATGTGTGTTTGTGTATATATGTGGTTTTACGTATGTGTTGTAATATATTTTTTTGGCTTTTAAAGTCTCTTCTGCTATGTTTTTCAGTGTTTTTATGATGATAGTCATTTGTTGGCCTGATACGTGTATTGTGTCCAAATTTAGTGGCAATTCGCCCAGTGGTTTTTGAGTTCCCACAAACGAACATTACATTTTTATTTATATAGATTGGGTACCTACCAATATTTTTTTTCGGGCTATATGGCCATGTTCTAGAGGCATTTTCTCCTGACATTTCGCCTGCATCTATGGCAAGCATCCTCAGAGGTAGTGAGGTCTGTTGGAACTAGGAAAAAGGGTTTATATATCTGTGGAATGACCAGGGTGGGACAAAGGACTCTTGTCTGTTGGAGCTTGGTGTGAATGTTTCAGCTGACCACCTTGATTAGCATTTGATGGTCTGGCAGTACCTGGGGCAATCTTTTGTTGAGAGGTGATTAGCTGTCCTTGTTTGTTTCCTCTCTGTTGTTTTGCTGTTGTAATTTTAGAGTTTTTTAATACTGGTAGCCAGATTATGTTCATTTTCATGTTTTCCTCCTTTCTGTTGATATTGTCCACATGCTTGTGGATTTCAATGGCTTCTCTGTGTAGTCTGACATGGTGGTTGTTAGAGTGTCCAGCACTTCTGTGTTCACCTAGCTCCAATAGACAAGAGTCCTTTGTCCCACCCTGGCCATTCCACAGATATATAAACCCTTTTTCCTAGTTCCAACAGACCTCACAACCTCTGAGGATGCTTGCCATAGATGCAGGCGAAACATCAGGAGAGAATGCCTCTAGAACATGGCCATATAGCCCAAAAAAACCTACAACAACCCAGTGATTCCGGCCATGAAAGCCTTCGACAATATATATATAACACTCACACACATACATATATATGGACGTATTGGGCATCTCCAAACTCTGATATTTATAGTTTTGGGTAACTAGCTCTTTTGCAAGAAGTAGTTTCCGCATCCTGAGTAATAGCAAAGCCTGGTGAGTATTATATTAGGATTGCTCATCGTGCAATTTGGATGACGTGCTTTTTCCTATAATGAAAGCAATCTAAAAGATTAAAATATATAAAGAGGGTGCCGTAGGTTGAGAGCAACAAAGGGCCCTTTCTGCAAAATGTCAGGTTGTGAGATAAAACGACCTGCAGGAAGCAGTGCGTCACATTCACAGCCACAGGTTTCCCTGCTGCTGGAGACGCACATCCTGTCTCCCTACCTTTGCAACCAGATCATTACCATCCTACGAAGTGATAGGACTATGAGATGGCGCACAATACACCAAAGAGCGGTGCGGGGGCTAACACAAAAGTCAAGATAACGATTGTTTCCAAATGACCCGCATGACTTTACCACGGCAACGGCTTCAGACGACAGCATCTCATCCACTGACAGTGTGGTGAAGTAAGCCAGGTTGGTCAGCACATAAACCAAGGTGACGATGGGGAGGGAGATGATGATTGCCAAAGGCAGGTTTCTGTGCAATGCAATGCAAAAAGAAAAGCCTGTAAATTAGATTTAGATCACCCCTTGGCTTTGCAATTGCCATTGGCCACAGTTGGGGATGTACTACACTGATGTTGGTATTTGTCTTTGGACTGCAATTTCTGGACAGCGAATTCTGGGCATTGTAGTCCAAAGAGGTCACTTTCCCCCAACTCACTGCAATGTCAACAGCCAAAGCAAATTGTCGTTGCTATTATTATTATTATTATTATTATTATTATTATTATTATTATTATTATTAGAAACACAACAAGATGAGTCCACAGCAGACAAGATCACTCTGCTGGTTGTATTATTGTTGTTGTTGTTGTTATTATTTGAGACACAACAAGATGAGTCCACAGCAGACATGATCATTTTGCTGGCTGTTGTATTATTATTATTATTATTATTATTATTATTATTATTATTATTATTATTAGAAACACAACAAGATGAGTCCACAGCAGACAAGATCACTCTGCTGGTTGTATTATTGTTGTTGTTGTTGTTGTTGTTGTTATTATTATTATTATTAGAAACACAACAAGATGAGTCCACAGCAGACAGGATCACTCTGCTGGTTGTATTATTGTTGTTGTTGTTATTATTATTATTATTATTGTTTGAGACACAACAAGATGAGTCCACAGCAGACATGGTCATTTCGCTGGCTGTTGTATTATTATTATTATTATTATTATTATTATTAGAAATACAAGATGAGTCCACAGCAGACAAGATCACTCTGCTGGTTGTGTTGTTGTTGTTGTTGTTGTTGTTGTTGTTGTTGTTGTTGTTGTTATTTGAAACACAACAAGATGAGTCCACAGCAGACATTATCACTTTGCTGGCTGTATTATTATTATTATTATTATTATTATTATTATTATTATTATTATTATTATCAGGAACACAACAAGATGAGTCCACAGCAGACAAAATCACACTTCTGGCTGTATTATTATTATTATTATTATTATTATTACTATTACTATTATTAGAAACACAACAAGATGAATCCACAGCAGACAAGATCACTCTGCTGGCTGTTGAATTGGATCACATATTCAGACACTTCACAAGTGTCTAGGACTGTGTGATGTATCGGCAAATAATGCGTGCAGATCCAAGTAGGGTGGCCTTCTGCAGCTGACAGATGGTAATTTAGTCAGCACCGATTGTTTTTAAGTGCAGGCCAAGGTCTTTAGGCACTGCACCCAGTGTGCCGATCACCACTGGGACCCCCTTAACTGGCTTGTGCCAGAGTCTTTGCAGTTCGATCTTTAAATCCTCATATCGTGTCAGCTTTTCCAGTTGTTTCTCTTCAATCCTGCTGTCACCTGGGATTGCAATGTAGACAATCCATACTTTTTTAACACAATCATGAAGTCAGGAGTATTATTAGATTATTATTATTATTATTATTATTATTATTATTATTATTAGAAACTCAACAAGATTAGTACACAACAACCAAAATCACTATGCTGGCTTTTGCATTGGAGCACACGTCGGACACTTCTCAAGTGTCTAGGACTGTGTGATGCATTGGCGAATTATGTGTGCAGATCCGAGTAGGGGGGCCATTTGCAGCTGACAGATGGGAATTTTGTCAGCTCCAATTGTTTTTAAGTGCAGGCCAAGGTCTTGAGGCACTGCACCCAGTCTGCCTATTATTATTATTATTATTATTATTATTATTATTATTAACACAACAAGTTGAGTCCACAGCAGACAAGATCACTCTGCTGGTTGTTGTATTGGATCACACGTCGGACACTTCCCAAGTGTCTAGGATTATTATTATTATTATTATTATTATTATTATTATTATTATTATATAACTACATTAGGCCCTAGCCATCTAACTATCTCTCTGCTGACATTTTGTCTCTCTCCATGTTCACAGGAGAATAGAGCAACAGGCAAACAACTAAGCCAATGGAAGAAAGGCTTTCTCTGTCAGCTAACACATCTGCCTATATAAGTCCTTGATGAGGACTACAAACTTGTGTAGAATGGGGTTGACTTCCAACAGTGTTTCCATTCTCCAAGTTAAATATTAGTGAAAACTGGGTCCATTCCTGAGTTTGAAAGCCCAACTTGCCCCAAACTTTCAAATTAAAGAGACAAAGGGGAATCCTGATGCACAAATCTGCCTCTGTTGGCATTCTCTAGAGATGGCTCTATGCTATTTTTATGCCAAAAGTCCTTTATTTCCATAGGGTTTCCTATCACCCAATTCATACGGGGGTCATATGCTATCCAATTAACCCAAAAGGCTTCCAAACATCATAAAGTTTCGTAAACTTTTGAAATAAATACTCCCTTGTCAAGGGACTTCTCTAGTAAGTTTGCAAAACTTACCTGTAAGGATTAATCATCTCTTCCGTGACAAAATTCAAGTAATTCCTGTGTTTTTAGTAAAGAGATGAGAGAGAGAAAGGACACATGAGAAAAAAGGAAGATTTATATTGACAATCTGAAACTGTACCAAAAGACAACGAGTTTCTTTTCAGTGCAATTTGACACCACTTTAGCTGCTATGGCATCCTGGGAGTTGTAGTTTGCTTTAGAGAAGGCGAAATACCTTGCAAAACTGCACTCCCATGTTTCCATACCATTGAGCCATCTGGGAGTTGTAGTTTGCTTTAGAGAAGGTCAAAGATCTTGGAAAACTGCACAACTCTGATGTTTCCATACCATGAACCATCCTGGGAGTTTTAGTTTGCTTTAGAGCAGGCCAAAGCTCTTGGAAAAATTCAACTCTAATGTTTCCATACCACTGAACCATCCTGGGAGTTGTAGTTTGCTTTAGAGAAGGCCAAAGACCTTGCAAAACTGCAACTCCGATGTTTCCATACCACTGAGCCATCCTGGGAGTTGTAGTTTACTTTAGAGAAGGCCAAAGACCTTGCAAAACTGAACAACTCTGATGTTTCCATACCACTGAGCCATCCTGGGAGTTGTAGTTTACTTTAGAGAAGGCTAAAGTCCTTGCAAAACTGCAACTCCAATGTTTCCATACCAATGAACCATCCTGTGAGTTGTAGTTTACTTTAGAGAAGGCTAAAGTCCTTGCAAAACTACAACTTCCATGTTTCCAGAGCATTGAGCCATCCTGTGAGTTGTAGTTTACTTTAGACCTTGCAAAACTTCAACTTCCATGTTCCCTTAGCACTGAGCTGTGGTGGTTCAAGTGGTGCCAAACTGCATTAATTTTACAGTGCAGATGCAATCTGAAATGGCTGCATTTGGTTTAAATGCATACTGTGAGTCAACTTGGGGTCCCATAAAGGGAGAAAGGTGGGACACAAAAAACATATAAATATAAGTATAAATATAAAAGAAACGTATAAGGATCAATTCATAGGTGGGGCTTACCAGCCTCCGTAGGCAAAGAGGCCACTATACAAGGCCAGGACAATGTTCCCGACTTCGATGTTTGTGCCTTCGAAGGAGTGCTCGGGGTTCAAGTTGGAGACATCGTCTGCATGGAATAGATATAAAAGAAACACACAAAAAGAACAAGGAGTTTAATATTGGCCCTTTCCTAAGGCTGAACAGAAGCATCAGCAAATGCACATCATTATGGTATCAACAGGTTTTGCATTCATGCATGGATTGAAAATATTGTCTGTAATGGGATTTAAGCACGCATAGGTTTTGGTATGTATAGGAGCCTGGGAATATATTGCAGCCAATACCAAGAAAGGTAGGTAGGAAACTGAGAAGGAAGGAATTCATATTATTATTATTATTATTATTATTATTATTATTATTATTATTATTTGAAACACAACAAAAAAATTGTCGTGTCGGGAGCGACTTGAGAAACTGCAAGTTGCTTCTGGTGTGAGAGAATTGGCCGTCTGCAAGGACGTTGCCCAGGGGACGGCAGGATGATTTGATGTTTTTATCATTCTTGTGGGAGGCTTCTCTCATGTCCCCGCATGAGGAGCTGGAGCTGATAGAGGGAGCTCATCCGCCTCTCCCCGGATTCAAACCTGCGACCTGTCGGTCTTCAGTCCTGCCGGCACAGGGGTTTAACCCACTACATCACCGGGGGCTGCATACACAAATATACACAACAAGATGAGCCCACATTAGACAAGATCACTCTGCTGGCTTTTGTATTGGATTACACTTCAAACAACTCACAAGTGTCTAGGACTGTGTGATGTATTGGCAAATAATGCGTGCAGATCCCAGTAAGGTGGCCTTCTGCAGCTGGCAGATGGTAATTTTGTCAGCACCAATCGTGTTTAAGTGCAGGCCAAGGTCTTTAGGCACTGCACCCAGTGTGCCGATCACCACTGGAACCACCTTGACTGGCTTGTGCCAGAGTGTTTGCAGTTTGATCTTTAAATCAAGCTTTTCCAGTTGTTTCTCTTCAATCCTGCTGCCACCTGGGATGGCAACATCAACAATCCATGCTATTATTTTACTGACACAAAACCACAGTATGTCAAAGCAAAAGAGATCTATATGCTGGTTTTCTTATCACAAAATCACAAGTCAAACACTTCCCAAGCATCTAGGACTGTTTGATGTATTTTTTTGAATGATGTGCGCAGATCCAAGTAAGGTGGCCTTTTGCAGTTAACAGATCATGATTTTGTCCATATTTATTGTTTCCAAATGCCGGCTATTATTATTATTATTATTATTATTATTATTATTATTATTTATACCTCACTTTATCTCTCCCAAAGGAGACTCAAAGCGGCTTCCTATTAAAAGTACGGCCACCTAATTTAAAATATCCAAATACGCAAACATCAAAACAGTATTAAAATCTATTAAATACTAGCCGTCCCCTGCCACACGTTGCTGTGGCCCACATGGGGGTTCTGTGTGGGAGGTTTGGCCAATACTATCGTTGGTGCGGTTTAGAATGCTCTGTGATTGTAAGTGAACTATAAATCCCAGCAACTACAACTCCCAAATGTCAAGATTCTATTTTCCCCAAACTCCACATCTGGGCATATTGCGTATTCATGCAGAGTTTGGTCCAGATCCATCGTTGTTTGAGTCCACAGTAATCTCTGGATGTAGGTGAACTACAACTCCAAAACCAAAGGACATTGCCCACCAAACCCTTCCAGTATTTTCTGTTGGTTATGGGAGAACTGTGTGCCAAGTTTGGTTCAATTCCATCGTTGGTGGGGTTCAGAAGGCTCTTTGATTGTAGGTGAACTATAAATCCCAGCAACTACAACACCCAAATGACAAAAATCAATTTTTTTGAGTGAAGGATATACATTGGCCTGATAGGTGTCTTGTGGCCAAATTTGGTGTCAATTCATCCAGTGGTTTTTGAGTTCTGTTAATCCCACAAACGAACATTACATTTTTCTTTATATAGATATTCAAACCTAGAAAATCATAGCATAGAGCAATGGTTTGAACCTGGGAGTGTAGCTCTGAAACTGCTGTGTGATTTTAGGAAAGTCACACTCTCTCAGCCTCTCTCAGCCTCAGATGAATTCAAAGGCAAATCCAACATATACCGACTAAAAACAGACACTCTATTGTGTGGTGTGTGTGCTGGAGGCTCCTTTTTTGGAAGCTTTTAAACAGAGGCTGGATGGCCATCTGTCGGGGGTGCTTTGAATGCAATTTTCCTGCTTCTTGGCAGGGGGTTGGACTGGATGGCCCATGAGGTCTCTTCCAACTCTAGGATTCTATTGTTGTTATTATTCACTTTAACACAGATACATCAAGTAAACATCCCCTTGTCACTACATTATTTCTATACTCTATAACTACTACAAATCCCAACTGACTATAAATCAATTCAGACTTCTATCAACAAAAACAAAATACAACAAAAACAAAATACAATCACTAGTATCTGATCAATTATAATCAAGTGGCTCAATTTTCACTCTCCAAATGCAATTGTTGTTATGTAATATGTTCATAACATATAACAACGATGGAGTGCAACTCCCAGCATGTATTGAGGAAGTGCAAGAATATTTGTCAAGCTGCACAAATCCTATCCCAGTTTGATCATTAAAGGATTGAAACCCTGGCACAACTCTAAGGCTAATGGGTATTGCAGTCCAAATTCATGTGATGCCAAATGGCAATCGTTCTACAAGGGAGATGCAATTCTTGTCCTCCGAAAAGTGCAGCCTCATAATCCTCATAGTAATGGCACTGAAATACTGCACTTATGGATCTAAAAGACCTGTCCACATGGCAAAAGAATGGGGATTAAGCAGATTTGGGTTCAGCATGTGCTGAAAGGGACGTGCATGCCCTTCATGCGCCAGGCTCAGGATGTACCTGAATGTAGCTGAACAGAGAGACACATCAAATCTGGATTGAGCGCAAAAGCCGGCAGGGAGAAGTAATCCCAAACATATGCCCCAGAGCATGGCCAGATCAGCAGGCTCTTATGTTTAGCACACTGGTGTCAAAGGAAACCTTCTGAGACTTGGTGGCGTCTGTACTGCCAAGTCGTACCAGTTCTATAGCACTTTAACTAGCATAGTTTCATCTTACAGTATTGTGGGATTCATAATGTGGAGGGTTCACTGCAAGTGAATTCTATTCCATTCCCTTAGCTTTCTAGAAGAGGGTTCTAGGTTTGTCAGCAAATGCCCCGAGGTGGAGCCAAGTTAGTTAAAGTGACATCAAGGAAGGAAGGAAGGAAGGGGGAAAGGGAGGGAAGGAAGGAGGAAGGAAGGGATGAAAGAAGAAGGGAAAGAAGGAAGGAAGAAGAAGGGGAGAGGCGAAAGAAAGATGGAATGAAAGGAGGAAGAAGAAGGAAAGGGAAGAAGGAAGAAGAAGGGAAGAGGGGAGGGTGAAGGAAGGAATGAAAAAGGAAGGGAAGGAGGAAGGAAGGAAGGAAGAAGAAGGGAAAGGAGGAAGGAAAGGAGGAAGCAATGAAAGAATGGAAGGGGAGAAGGACAGAAAGGAGGAAGGAAGGGATGAAAGAAGAAGGAAAAGGAAGAAGGAAGGAAAGAAGAAGGGAAGGGCGGAAAGGAGGGAATAAAAGAAGAAGGGAAGGGAAGAAGGAAGGAAAGGAGGAAGGAAAGAAGGAGAGGAGGAGGAAAAGAGGGAAGAAAGAAAGAAAGGAGAAGGAGAAGGAGGAAAGAGGAGGAAGAAGAAGGAGAGGAGGGAGGAAAGGAGGAAGGAAGAAATGAAAGAAGAAGGGGAAGGGAAAGGAAGGAAAGGAGGAAGGAGGAAAAAGGGAAAAGGGGAAGGAAGAAAGAGGAAGGAAGGAAGGAAGGAAGGAAGGAAGGAAGGAAGGAAGGAGGGAAGGAAGGAAGGAAGGAAGGAAGGAGAAAGGAGAGGAGGGAAAGGAGAAGAAGAAAGAAGGGGAGAAGGAGAAGGAGGAAGGAAGGAAATAAGAAGGGAAGGAGAAGAAGGAAGAAGAAGGAAGGGAGAAAAGGAGGAAGGAAGAAAGAGAAGGGAGAAGAAGGAAGGAAAGGAGGAAGGAATGAAAGAAGGAAGGAGAGAAAGGAAGGAGTAGGGGAAGGAAGGGAGGGAAAGAAGGGAAGAAGGAAGGGAGAGAGCAGAGAAATAAGGAAGAAAGGAAAGAAGGGAGGAAGGAGAAAGGAAAGTGAATTTTCCCATACTGTAGCTCCTGGTGTCCATATTCTGTAGTGGATTCTGTGGGGTTGAGACCCTCCCAAAAATATCATCTATATTCTCTATTTTTATTTTTATATATATATATATATATATATATATATATATATATATATATATATATAAAGGGCTTTTAGGAAGAAGAAAAGTGCTCTTCTTGCCAAACAGCCGCAAATAAAAACAGAAATGAAAAGGACTGGCGTTGTGCCTATTTGGCCGGGCTATTGAGAAGCCCTTTTGGTCCTACAGTGTTTGGGAGAAACCCTCACATTCTCACGTCTGCATGAAATAATTGTGAGAATTGTGGGAAGCTGTAACAGCAGGAACTCTGTAACGAAGTGGAAGCAGCCTAGAGAACAACAACAACAACAATGTTGTAATGTGATATATTGTTATTATAGCAACAACCGCACAATATGCCTCCGTATCCGTAGTACTTCTATCCAAAATTTCATTTATCCAAATAGGAGAAAATATTTCCTTTTCTCTAGATCCTCTGGTGCAACTTTATGGGATTCTTGGGCTAAAAAGTCATGCATTTATCTTCAATTCACTATTATCCATGGTTTCGTTAAGCCTCGCTAGGCATTTTCTAGGTCTTCCAGTACAATCTTATGATATTCTTGGCCTGGAAATCATTCCTTTCAACAGGGTTTGCTATAATCCATGGTTTCATGTAGCCCTTTCCAACAAAACCAGGATTTTCCTAGGTATTCCAGCACAACTCTGTTATATTCTTGGGCTGGAAATTCTTCATTTTGCCAAATGGTTTTTCCCATTATTCGGTTTTGCATATTCACACTAATTCTGGGGACCCACCTCTTGGGATAAAATGGCTGTTGTATAATAATAATAATAATAATAATAATAATAATAATAATG